TATATATATATATATATATATATATATATATATATACATATATACATATTCATTTTTTGTATGTTACTTTTACTTACATAATAGAAGATCTGCTTGCTAGCAGGAAGTTTTTTTCCTTTTCCATGGAAGCAAACCTACTTTAAACATAACTGCCACTTAAATGGCTTGAGTAAGAAAATATATTCTATTAGTCCTGTTAAATATAATGTGACCAGAATTAAATTCCTCTGCAATTAAATTGCAATTATATAGTATTTGCAATTAATTGGCCAGCCCTACTGAGAACAGAAATAACAAATCTAACTTTTTTTTTTTTTTTAGCCACTTGCAAGATTAAATCACTTACTTTTTTTTTGTCTTTAGGTACAAACAAAATAATATGCACCATCAGGGCCCAGAGGCCTATGGTGAGAAACAAAAAAAAAAGGTTTGCAGTAAGTTACATTGTGTTTTTAAAGATGAGAGAAATGGAAAGGAACCCTGCATAATGGTCATTGTAGAGAGGGATGCAGACATATAGGTGGTCTATAAAAAAGCCCTGAATTTGCTGATTTCAAGCAAACCAGTGGCAACAATAAGAGAGCAAATTCATGGCCGGCAGTGAAAAGCACACGTTTCCGTCTGTAAAGACTGGAAGTTAAGCTGCTGAGACACCATCAAGAAGACATTAGGATAAAATCTGTGAGAATGATAGCTATTTAATAATTTTTTTCTAGTGGGAGAAGTGCAAAGAAAATCTGATTTTAAAGTCTTTTGTGGCAAAAAAAAAAACTAATGACTTTATTCTTTTTTTAAGCACCCTCTTTCCCACCATTTTTATTACCAGCATTTCTCATTTTCCCTCACTCACTTGAAAGGTACTTTTACAAAGATCAGATGAAGCTTAGTTTTGAATTTAAGGAAATGCGCGGGATAATGGTTATAAGTAAAGCAGCCTGGAAGTGCTGCAAAAACCTGATCAGCCTAACAGTGTAAATCAGATATTTCTTAAAAGAAATAGATAAAACCAGAATCAGTTTTGCTGTATAAAAAGGTATGAACCTGGAGGAATCAAGGCTTGTTCAGAGGGGAAAAATACATTTCCTTTGCTTTTATTAGCACAAATATAATATTTGAAAAATAAGAAGATGCCAGGAAGTTTTTTTTTTAAGTGATTTAATCTGGAATGGCTACATATGTAGACCTTCTGATCTATTTTCCCTCATGTAAGTACTATGCTGCTAGTGATAAATAGAAAAGGAAAGATACCTCAGACCAGAATTTGAGGATTCCCTCAGTGAGAGAGGATTACGAGGCTTAACTGGCCACTAAAGTGATGGATAGTGAGAGCAACCCTTATAAAAAGTCCCAAAGGGTACATTCATCTTTTTCCTCAATGGCAATGAAACTGTAGCTTGGAATGGAAAAAACAAAACGATTCGCTGCCTGATTCATCCAAGGCATCAGTATTTCACAAGAGGTTTACCAATATCTTTAATTTCCTGTTGGCAGTCCTCAGCCTACAAGCTTTTCTTTTAAATAATGTGAATCTATCTTCATAAAAAGTTTAAATCTATCAAATAGAATTTTTTGTCCCCTGATAGGGGTATTGAGAAATTTAAAATAACTACATGTGTACAGAGGTGGGTTTACCTCAAGGATCTATGCAGGTGTTTTTATGAAAGTACCTTACAGATAACATCTCAGGAATCTGTTCTATGTGCTTTATCTTCTTGGCTCATTTTTATTTAGTGGATTCCTAAGGGGCCAGACTATGAATGAATCAATATTTTTGCTATACTGCTATAAGACCAAGGAAGTAGGTAATCATTTTAGGGATGACAGGGCCTTATAGGCAAGACGCTTCCCCACTATCACCTGCTGCTTTGGCATTCATCCATGCAGTATGACAAAGCTACATGAGAGCACCAAGCTGTGCAACCACCACCTGTGTTAGTATGTACCAGAATGGACAGGTTCATAGTTGATTTTATGGCACTTAAAGGAGCAGAACCAGTTAATTAAATTGACTTAAGGGACATGTAGCACACCAAGCTTATGTAAGAAGAGATAGTGGATATGTATCGTTAAACATCACATTTTTCATACCTTTCCCAGATTCAGAAATTTTATTCAGCTATGTGATTTGATTATACAAGGTGTTAGACATCTCTAAAATGATCAAAACAATGTGAAAGAAGTATAAATCCTAAACTCAATTATCATTTGAAAGTTTTTAGTGGTATTACAGTAATTAATCTAGTTTAAGCGTGCATGGATCAGGTTGCTTCTGCCTCTCTGCACACGTCCCTCAGTGTTCGCAATGCAGGTGGTGGATCCACTGGAGGATGGATTCATGTCATTCCTTCCCGCTTGGCCCCAATTTTTTGGCCATCATAAGGGCTTCTTGAAGCGTGGCTGTCGGGGACAGAGCCCCTTGATTGGCAGACTGAGGTGGTGGTTCCCCTCCATAAGAGGAGGGACAAAAGGGTGTGTTCGAACTATAAGGGGATCACATTTCTCAGACTAACCTGGAAGGCTTATTCCAGGGTGTTGGAGAGAAAGTCCAGCTGATCATCAAACCTCTGCCTCAGGAGGACGAGTGCAATTTTTATCCTGGCAGTGAAACTACTCAAGGGTTCATGGGAGTTTGCCCAAAAGTTAATTTTTTGTTTTTTGGATCTGGGGAAGGCATTTGACAATGTCCCTCGTGGTGCCCGGTGGGAGGGCACTCCAGAAGTAGAGAATGGGTGACCCTTTACTATGGGCAATCTGTCCTGTGGACAAGCAGACCATGAGGGGGTCTGGTGTCGGAGATTAAAGGTCTCTACTTTTGCAGATGGAGTGGATTTGTTGGCTCCCTTCTGCAAAGGTCTACAGCACGCACTGTGGAGGTACAGAGTCAGTTGTGAAGCAGCTGGGATGAGAATCAGCCCCTCAAAGTCCAGGTTAGAGGGCCTGGGGCTCACCTGGAAAAAAGTGGTTTCTCCCCTTCAGGTTAGAGGAGAGTTCCTGCCTTAAGTGGAGGATTTCAAGTATCATTGGTTCCCCCAGTGAAATCTATTATTAAGGACCAGGTAGTGCTTCTTCTCTGGCCTTTTTACATTTTATCTTTGGTGATGATGTTGACATTCGAAGGACCACTTGTCAACACCCAAATCTTTACCTTCTTTTAAATATTCTCTGTCAGAATCAAGTTAGGATACTTGTTATTAAGTCAAAATATCAATTCAAATATAAATGTGCCAAAGGTTTTAATGATTTTTGTCTTATGTGCATCAAAAATAAATATAGAAAATATGTTGGGCCTTACAGCAATAACACCATTTCCTCCACAAGAAGCGGCAATGAATTACTTTAGTTTTCCATCTGTCAACAGCTTACCAACTGCTCCCCGTCTCATTAACCAAGGAATGGAGGTCTCGCTGATAGAAGCACTACCCTGTGGGATAGGGACTGCCTGCAGGTGTCAATCAGGGTAGATTTTTGTTGCATACTCCATCAGAAAACTCAAATTTGCCAGTGAGGAATTTTTACACCCATGAAGGCAATGGCATTGTTGCCATGAAAAATGGTCTGCAGATTATGATCAGGATCTGTGTTGTACAAGCGTCGCTTTGTAATCCATCCATCAAGATATTATCTCTATTGGATGGGTAATCTGACCAGCCATA